TTTTATACAAATATAAATAGCGGTAATTTCAGTACAGTACAGTGCATGCAAGTTAATTCACAATCCCTTTCCATGCTACCTTACCATACATACACTTACCTCTCTCCCCTATAATAATATTTACACACTTAGGTTATTTAGATAGAAGAAGAATCTAGAATAAAAATGGAATACATCCGAATTTTTACTTAAAGATTAGATTAGACTTGGATATACATAAGGAAATTGTTCTTTTACTTTGAAATAGTAAATCAATCATTGTTAGGTCACGATTAGAAACTTGGAATCACTGAAAGGCGGCCGTTCCGTCTTGCTATGGGATTCATCAACAGTGCACATTCACGATCTTCATAATAGTATAATACAAAATTTTAAAAAGTGTGCTCACTAGTAACTATCTTCGTAGTTGTAATGCGAAGCCGTGAAAGTGAAATTAAACACTGTCGGGTTTAAGCAATGACTACCGAAGACAATGGATGAGAATGAACAAAATTCTTGGATTAATCAAAGTTAGACTACCTGTCGCATCGGTGGTCTAGAGTTTAAGCGTTCATGTGCGAGACCAAGGGTAGTTGGGTTCGATTCACGCGAGTGGGGTTTGTGAGATGCTGAAGAGTCCGATCCCAGGATGAAATGGCCATCTAGTGCTTCCAGGTTTCTAGTGGTAGCCTAACAACGACTGATTCACGGTTTCAATTTAAACTCTTGAATAGACAGTCGTTATCGCAACACTGGAAATCATACATTTCGATTCAAACTGCCTAATCCGTATGAACTCTTACGGTGTATAAACTAATATAGCAAATGATTTACATATCTCATCCAAGTTCGAAGATGACTTGCCCATATAATAAAGCCTAGAATATTTTTTTTAGCAAGTTAATCAGTTATTCATTATGAGAAATAGTTTGTTGTTATAAAAAGAAATGCTACATTTCGAATAACGATCTCCGTTATTTTGAAGAAAAAACAATTATGTGAGCATCATCAAAAGATCTATAGTTTTAAATACATGTTTTCTATAGAACTTCTTTAGTCTATAAAGTGTGGTGATTTCACAGTTTTACGAAAAGAAGCTCGTTCGGTTAAACAGCAACATTCATTCAGATCAATTACGTCTTCTCACTGTTCTATCAAAATTTATAAAAGGGACTAATCGTTTTAAAATTCATTATAATAATCAATAGTACCAGTGAACGTTTTACCGAACATTTTGTTTTATGCAATGACTTTGGTACTTTTTGTATATATATTGAGATTACACTACGGTTACACATGTCCCTTCTTTCCGGTAGCCATCTTTGTTGCTCTGTACCTCTTTAGTCAATTCGCCAACAAATACACTTTCTTCATCTGGTCAACTGTGTCTTCTTCTCTTCGATAAAAGATTTGGGATAACGCTGCGGACCCGAACTTAATTGGTTTGTAGGCATGTTCATAGTCCTTTGACTTAAACATCTAGAAAAGTATGGTGCAGTAAGCTGATTTGAATTTACCACATACTTTGTATCAACATTGTAAAATATGTAATTGCTTAAAATGTCTCATTCTTGATAACAACAGTAAAACTTTTCATCAATGTATACGCTTTTGATAGTTTTAAGATGTGAATATTTTTTTACTCTTACATATAACTTTATAATCAATCATTTGACAAGTTATTAACTATCAGGACTTAGTAACTTGATAGATAATCTATGAATATTCTAGCCAGTAGGTATTTGATTCGAATCTCAATGTAAAAAATAAAACAGGAATATAGGTACATCTGAACGACAAGTCAAAATACAAAGGAACTTGTGTTCCACATTCCACAGATAAAGATAATCTATGCGTACTAAGGAATGATGAAGTCTTTTAATCTCAATACAATCGAAGTTTAATTTATACAAAAAAAAACAAACTCTGATTATGAAGGAAGTAGTATAAGTTCATCTAATCTAGATAATTATGAATGTATTTTAATTCCCTTCATCGTCACCTGAATGAACTTGAATAAAAAGTATATAGAAGTACAGATGTACTTTTTGATTTGCTTGTCAACGAATATGCTCGAAACTATTATGAGTTCACCTTACACGTTAAACGGGAACGAAGACAAATGATCTAGTGATACGATAGGCTACTTCATTCCGAGCGTCCTAAGGCCCCACTAAGTAGAGGAAGAAGTACCGATATAGAGTAGAAAGTGTATGAATGAAGACCTTCTAAACCCCAGTGCAGAGTTTAAATGGTTTGAACTGATGTTTCTGGTTAGCGTTTTTTCTAGCTAGTTAGTATTCTATGGGATCGGGTCGCCTACCCTCCTCCTTTATCCGGACTTGGGACCGGCAGTAGCTCCAGAGGGTCTCCGGGCGGAGTCCTACTTTTTCACAGTTCATTTTAATTTTAACACTAAGTAATTTCTACTCACAACTCTTATTCCTAATCAAACTTCAGTAAGTTCATCAGAATGATATCGTTTCAAGGTTTTTTTACCTTATCTTTTGTTATAACGTTCTCTTAGTATACCCGAACTAATTCCTACTGCTTAGTATTCTGTGACAACAATACACTCGACAAGTCCCCAAATCAGAACACGGTGGAACAGGAAAATAATTATATTCCAAACAGCAAAGCAAAGACGAAGGCAAAATAGGAACAATGTTAGCCTCGCTATAGTGAGACTATCTCAGAAAAGGACGGTCTTATTATTCATCTTTAATCCAGGAGATTGGATCGATGGGCAGAACCCTAAACGATCACTTGAATTGGCCCTCAGCCACACTTCGGTTGCCCACGATCTCCAGTCATCCTGAATGGCAAATCAACGTAGGTCCCCCCACTCTTTATGAAGTTGATGAAGCTATAGGAAATCTGAAACAAGGGAGAGCAGCGGGTCCGGATAGACTGACCCATGAGATGTTTAAGGATGGTGGTCCAGTTTTAGCAAGCTCTCTACTCTAAGACTACTGGTCGGATGAGAGCTTACGGTGAATTGTCACCGGAATTCTTTACTTCAAGTGGTGTCCGTCAGGGATATCCACTTTCCCCATTCTTGTTGAATTTTGTCATAGACATGATCCTAGAAATAACCTTGTCCTCGTCTGATTTTTCAGGAGTAGACCTTCTACCAGGTGGCTCGCTTATTGACTTAGAATATGCCGATGACATTGTCCTACTTGGTGAAGACGCTGACAAAATGCAGTCTTCTGACTGCCCACAGCAACAATGCAAGCATGTTCGGGATGCGGTTTTCCCCCTCGAAATGCAAAATGTTGCTTCAAGATTGGGTTGCATCGGCACCTGAACTAGTGATAGGGAGTGAAGTAGTCGAACGTGTAGACCGCTTCACTTATCTTAGGACTCTCATCAGCGCTGATGGCCTGGTGACTGATGAAATCTCAGCACAGATACAGAAGGCTCGATTGGCTTTTGCCAACCTGCGTCACTTATGTCGAAGGCGAAATATCCGTTTACTAACGAAAGGACGAGTATACTGCACAATAGTTCGCTCCGTCCTTTTTCATGTCTGTGAAACATGGCTAATCAGAGTAGATATTCGTAGGTTGCTTGTCTTCGATCATAGGTTTCTTCGAAATATTACTCGTATATCCTGGGACAGCCAAGTAAGCAACGCTGTTATTAGGAAACGGGTGCTAGGTAAGAATAGCAAATCAGTCGATGAAGTTATGAAACGTCATCTGTCGAGGTGGTTAGGACATGTGTTGCATATGCCTGACCACCGACTGCCTCGTCGAGCTATACTTTGCACTGTAGGAATAGGTTGGAAGAAAGCTAAGCGAGGCCAAATCGAAACATGGCAAAAACCCATGAAGTCACTGACAAGTGGAGTGAGTCATTTTGGTAGATGTAGGCTGCCTGGTTGGGGGTCCGCAAGAAGATCGTCACCGATGGTTAGAGACCTTGAATGACATGGCTCAGAATCGTTTGCACTGGCGCAGGTGCATCAACTCTTTGTGTTCTCTCAAAATCCTAGCCTTCGGAGTTCCTCATCACCTCTATTTATTTCACTAGATTCTACTTCCTGAATAATATCGTCGAACCCTGATCTCTCTGATTACTGCTGATACCTTTACTACTACTGGGATTTGAATTAGCAACTGCATTTCCGTGCTAATGTGGTATAGCAACTTGAAAGGATTGGTGTACGTACGTACAAAGTTCTACGATGTTGTTGATTGAGTGACATTGAAAACACGTGCAGATGTAAGAAACGTATGATAAAATGGCATGAAACTAACGAATATGTCTGGAATTAAGTAGCCTTAGAGATATCAGTATACAACAAATGTATCACATTCTATCGAGTTCACATGTCCTTTATGCTTAGCAGATAGATGAATAAACCTTTGACCAATCCTTTTCAAAACAATCGCTAACAGCTAGAAACTACTAATGTGTCCACTTTTGAGTTGGCGTCTCTCAAGTCACGAAATCCTGCGATACTTCTCAGTATATGAAAGTAGTTGTTGAATAGCTTTGGCTTACTATTATGCCCCCGAGATGCTAACATTGTAGGACAGCGAATGATGTGAATATGTATTATTCTCTTGGTATAATTTATTCGTAACTTCCACTGAATTTAAGGATTTAGGTAGCGAAAAAATACTTCTGCGTAAAAACAGAATTTTGACTGGTAAACTATGAACTTCTGTAATTGGAAACACTAATATTTCAGTTTACTTTACTTTACTCTAAAATAACAGCGATAGAAGATTTATCAAAAAATATAAACACCTGTATGGATAAGAGCTGCCATAAACTTTTAAAATCTTACAATTCCCAATTAAACATGATGGCAACAAGTAATGAGTTCAAAATATGGTGTTTTAAGCCCAACTAACATACACCTCCCTTAATAATAAGTAAATAATAATTGACGAAAGTCGTATACAAAATAATAGTATTTATTATTATTACTATTATTATAAGCCTATAATCTCATCATAAGATAAATCAAGCAAAGACAATCATTGGATATTGAATCGTTTTTGTTTTTATACATCTAATTCTTTGTTAACAGAATTCTGTACAGTTCTATTCAATTTGCGCGTTTTTTGACTACGTAGGTGGCGTTGAGTCACATTATGTTGATGTAACTGTTTATTCGATTCATAGGCTTGTATCATTGCGCTATTGTCTGTACACTTGAAAAATAACTTCAAAAATTCTGTTCGAGGACTTGGAACTGAAGAATACATTGAGCAAAACAAAAAAAGAAATAAACAAGTGATTTCTGATGTTGAAGCTACTGTGACAAAGTGTTTAGCTAATTTAAGACCCAAAAAAGCTCTTGAATAAAATGCATCATTTCCTTTGACCAAACTGCAATCATTCGGAAGGTAGGCAAAGATGACGGAGATACATCGATGTGTGCTCTCAACTTCTCAACTTTGCACTGCCGCTTTAGTCAGGTAGTGCATGAGCGAATGTCTACCACGACCCAGTTTAGGACAGTCTATTCTAACTTTAAACGTAGTGCTACATTCACACCAGCAAGTCCATGAGGAATTATAGTCGAGGCTACAGATACACAGAAATTAAATCATAAAAGTTCTCCGTACTGAGTAGATGAGACCGAGTAAACAACCACATTTGAATAAAATCCCCAAGACAGTATATATTAATAACGCGAGATTCTAGAGTACTAGGTAGTGCAACCTGCTGACCCATTCAACGAAAACCCTCATTATCTATTTTGGAGCATGGTTCCAAGCGACCAGGTTGGTGGGACAAGAGTGAAGTTGCAGAAGGATTTATCGTAGGGATAAAAGGAACGTTGTAAAATCAAAATGGGAATTGATTGTGAACAAGATGATCTCAAGTGCTGTTAGACATACGCATATGATTGTAACAAACCGGTTACCTGTTCAGTGGACGGATGCTTCTTTTGAAGGCTACTAATAAAGATACCGGACTATAAGTGGTCTTCCCATCCACGGAGCATGACTGCGGAGCCCGAAAGATAACTTTTATATGCCAGTCACATACCGTTTTTTATGAGTATTTGATCTGTACTTTTAAAGCCTCACCGTCAGGTAAGCGGAATCTGAAGAGCAACATCAAATGTGATATATTTTCAGGAATGACTTTTTAAACCCTTTCCTTCTGTTGTCCAAACGCTTAGTGGCTAAGAGGTTCAACTTGCAGAAACTAAGTCGCTTGCTCGAAATCTAGTTTATCTACTTCAGTTTGGTGGATAAGTTGATAGTAATATCAAACCTCAAAACTGAAGTGTAGATAATACCCAAGTGTACGTGTTGAATGAATTAATTTAAAAATAAAAATCAAATCAGTTAGCAGTACAACTTTACACTTGGTTCTTAATTTGCTGCTTTTAGTCCCAACTTCACCTAAAGGGACAGGCATTTCAAACAATATGCTTTGATTAGTTCATTACCATTGTCTCGTACGACAGACACCACACCAAGATCGATATGTGCAAAGTCTGACAGATAGTCAAATAATAGTCCTACCTTTAGCATTAGTAGTCTAGCTACCTTTACTCTTTACCTTTGCAGTTCAATCATAAGAACATTTTGGATTTACAATTTAAGGCAAAGATCAAAAAATTCAGCTACGAGAAGCTGATAGCCACAAATCTAACATGAAATGAATCAAATCAGACAGAAAAATTTGTGCACATTCTATTGTCCAATAGCATGCAATCCACTGCAAATAATTTTACAAGTAAAATAAAATTACGACACACTATTAGTCAAGCGTTTGTAAATGCAAACCAATCATATACGGAAAATATTTGCAGTTTAAACAGGACACAAAACATAAAATCATTTACCCGGGATTTGTACAAGGAAATCATTTGATATACAATCAATCACTTGAGGCTATTTAATGAAACAAATAAAAAAAATTTATTAGCTAAACAGTAAAGAATAATACTAATATGAAATTAAACAGCTATAACAAATATAAACTGTAAGTATACACAATCATGTGAGTATGTATGTATGTATAAGCTAACAGAATAAAATAATAATAATTTAAATGAATTCTGAACTGGACATCATTTTCGACTGAATTTTGAATAATTAGACTAAAAAACCACTTCAGTCAGTCAGTTACAACGAATAACTGTGCACGTATGTACATCAGCTCAAGTTGTCATATAAAAATTACTATAGACAGATTGAACTATCAATTCACATCTCATAGTAGTAAAGATCGTTGTAGTATTAGCGGTAATCGAAAAGATTGGGATTCGAATCAATTATTCAACAGGTATAATCCAGATAAAGAACGGATGCACCTGTGCCAATACAAACGATTTGGAGCCATGTCACTCGAAGTCTCCAACCATCCGTTACTATCGTCTCGTGGACCCCAGCCAAGTAGTCTACAATTACTAACACGATTCATTCCAGTTGCCAGTGACTTCATGGATTTGTGTCATGTTTTGGTTTGGCCGCCGGTATTTGGTACTGGTCGCTCGATGGTCCCAGGATATCAGCGAGCTGTTGTGCAGTATACTCATCTTTCGGTTATTAGATGGATATCTCGCCGAAACCAGAAGTGGCACACGTTGGTAAAAGCCAGTAAAGCCTTCCGTATCCACGCTGAGAGTTCATCGCACACCAAGTTATAACCAATGATAAGACTTCTGAGATAATTGAAGCGATCTCAATAATAATCGTCATAATTTCAAATGTTCAGGAGTGCTGCTTTACGTTCTCAAATGTAAAACCGGATGTATGGATAATTGGACAGCTAATCATGTTTGTTTTTTTTTCTCAACAGCATACAGTAGTCCTCCTTTTGCACTACTGTTAATTTGTCAGTTGATTCAACTAATGCTTTCAAATCATAGTAAATGCAATTATGCTCCACTTATTGAGTTTGATTGTACTGAATCTGTCGGGTATGAGGGCGGTTGTCACTCCCCGGCTGCTAACACCGTGGAAGGGTATTGCTTGGGAAATTTGAAAATGAAATCGGGTTAGCATTTGGTCTGAGCGACGTGGTAGAGTGATCGTAGAGCCCAAGAGACAACTGCTTGATGCGGGTCATGCACGGCCTTCTTATTGGAAGTTTTTAACGTGTTAGCTCCTCTCTTCACGTGGCCTTATCGCCAGAGACGGAAACATATGGGGTAAGGTAAGCTTTGACATTTTCAGGGTCGACCTTTCCCAACCCCTTCCTTCCTTGTGAGGAGGAAGCATCGCTGCAGATGCTGATTATCCAACAGAAACATTGTACTGCTGTCACTCCCCTAAAAAGTCATCAGCGCGTCTCCACTCTCAAATCTTGAGTTGCTGTTTTTAGTCTTACCGTTCTCCAATCCATCTGCCTGGCATGACAGGATCTAAAGGAACATACGTTCCAGCCAATACAGCTCGGTTTCGTGATCACCATAGGCAAGCCCGACCACCAAGTCAAGCTAGCAGCTACTGAAGGGCAGTATTGATGCTGTTAGATCTTTGAAACCATGAATCGATCAATGTTAGACCACCATTAGAAACCTGGAAACACTGGACGGCCGTCTCGTCCTGGTATGGAACTCCTCAGCAGTGCGCATCCACGACTCCTGAACCCCACAGGATTTGAACCCAGGACCTTCGGTATTGTGCGCGAACGCCCTAACCGTTAGACCACTGAGCCGATATCTAACAGTGCTAATGTCTAACTTGATCAAATGTTAGATCTAACATTTATTTTCCTATCACTACACACACTTCATCAAGCTCTAAACAAAATGGTTTTATCAGTATTTATTTCATTTGTTTTAGTTAAATAAGAAAATATTATCCAACACTTACAACATCCCACTTCACAGAACACGATGGTTGACAAGTACTGTACTGGATAATCAATTTCCATGAATAGAGACGGACAAAAGTCATGGTGGAACACAGTCCGATAATACGGTTATCATCTGAACACAAAGCTATATCAATAAACGGCAGTTTATCCTCTGTGGAAGTAAAAGCTTTTGATCCCCAAGAAACAGCATCCTCAGTAATATGAATATGAAACGCCATTAGTAATGGGTTGCTGTAAATAAACATTTATAAAAATTAAGTAAAAATTGATTGTAACCAGCAGTTTATATGTACTAGCATCAACTCCCTCCCGAAAAAAATAGACAACCAAGCACAAGTGTAGGGTTGTGCTAATTTATCATGCTGCGTCACCACAACGAGGTGAAAACGACAAAAGAGATCTTATTAATGTGGTTCAAAATATAAAAGGCTAAACCTTCAGAATATGGTTTGAAAAACCAGAGTGTAAAGGTGTGTGCAAAAGGGGATACTGGAGTGAATACATCTGCGCCATTGTGAACGATCTTCAGCTGTATTCCAGTCTCCAACAACTGATAGCAGATATCGCGTAGACCCTAATCAGATAGTTTGCAACCGCCAACATAGCTAACACTTAAACCCTAGGTGTTGTACAGGCATAAAGTAATACAAAGACGACTGCTGAGAAGTACATGCCCTTTGACTGTCAGACGGATATCTTACCTACGCTTTAACTGACGCAAGTTGGCAAAGGTCAGCAGTGCTTTCAGAATTCTTGTAGAGGTTTTGTCATATGTCAACCCTCCAAACTTCCCAAGGTGAGTGAGATGGTCAGCACATTCAACTACTTCACTTCCTGTCATTGGTACAGGTGTTGAATCAAACCAATTATGACGCAGCATCTTACTTTTAAGGGGAGAGAAGCATATACCAAGTATGTTCATCTTGTTGCTCATGTTGATAAAAACACCGCATTTTGTCAATAACATCAAACAGAACTATATTATCTGCGTATTCAAAATCGAAAAACGAAACTTCTGGTAGGATACTGACCATTTAAAAAGTTCTTAGAAGAAAATATTATTTCTAGGAGGATATCAATGACAAAGCAAATGTGAAAATGGGAATAATAAGTGGTCATGTTGAATGCCACTTGGTGTCAACAGTTTTCTATACGCTTTGACTGGATCAACAATTAGTGAGTTCCATCAGTGAAAACTGTATATTGGTGGTGATGTGTATTGGTATTATTTGCTTAAACGCAACTAGAGCTACAATGTTGGTGTTCATTTATATAATACAATGTGATTACAATACGAAAAGTTATGCTATCTGATTCGAACCTGCATTTTTAAGGCAATCAATAATCTAGTGAGAAAACCATGGCAAACACCTTACTGTCATTGTAAGATATGGCACAACTTCACTTTACGATCTTAACAATACGCTGTCTTTAATTCCTTTCAAAAGAAAACTGAGAATACGAGAGATAAGGTGCTTATTTTTCGGAATAATGACTTTTTGATAAATTCGGGAAAGGTCAGAAGCTGGTTACGTATGTTGATGTTTCCACATGTAAGTGTAAAATTTCACAAAGACCTATGTCAAATGAAGTCTTCACAGTATAAAATTAAAAAGAACAAAAGTAGAAAACTGTGAAAGCAACTAACTAACAGTGGCACCGATTCACAATGAATGAAGAATCACAAAAAGTTCAAGATTTAGAAAAGATAGAATGGGTGGATTTTTAATTATCGTGTTTTATGTATTGTATTTAACAACTCATACCGAAAAAGTGAACAGCAATGGGAACTTTGATCCGGACATTTGTAGACTTTTTCCAACCTAATCCTTGTTCAGCCAGAATCATAATTTAGAGTAAATGGTTTCTTTTCTGGTAAACGAGTTTGAATCAAAAAGTACACTTCCACATTTGAATTTAATGCCAACTTAGAACCCGTACGTTTACCTTGTGAGTATGGCCACTAATCTAATTCCAGTTTCTTCTGAGGACGATAACAATTCAAAAGCTATATAAACCTATCATCATAATACATGATGTGAATTTCTGACTGGTATAAAGTTTACGGACAATATGAAAGTGTGGGATTATATAAGGTTTTGTGTTGATAGCTGCTTTCTTTATAGACAACCTAGTAGATTAGTCAAAAGCGAATATAGCTAGAAAGTTCAACTTACGATAGAAAAGAACAAACGACAACATCTTTGATCAAATATAACCTAGAAACAACGGCTTCCGATCCAGAATTAGACTGTAAATCCGAAGAAACTGAAAGAGATGGAAGTAGTTCATCTTTTGAAACATAATTCGATGAGAGACAGTGGCCTGAATCACAATTCCAAACACTTATATATCCATCCTAAATCAAAGAGGAAATTGGACAGTGTAAACCAAAGAATTTACGAACGCAAAAAGGGCAGGTTATAATACAACTAGATAACAATTCAACTTATTGCTGCAATAGTAAGATGCAATTTTTTGTTGATACCCTATCAGCACTGAATTTTTGCGCTACAAATAAATAAAAACCACTAGGTTAGATAGTTTAACATCTGTTAAGGTTATGTTTATTTATCATTTATCTTGGTGTTACTAGTGAACATTTTCATATATCAATGTTTCTTGTAACCTCTTTTATCCTTCTGTATCTCCATGATAACTATCGTCATTTTTGTTCTCAGCTTATTTACTGGCCCTTTTGTCTATTTCTCCTTCTAGTGCCGCTGGAAAAATAAGAAGTGCTCATTACTTATATCAAGGCAAAAGTCGATATTATATGCAACTGGGAGTGATGTTATGTCACATAACTATACTCTCTACTTAAATTATTCCAAACCCTTAACAAACATTTAAAGACTTAACCTGAGTTAGTGATACAAAGTCTTGTATAGAACTACCAATGAAGCATTAAATGGAGGCCCATCAAGCCACTCATTTTACACTGAATTCATCCTTCGCTAACGATGCTTCACCAGCAGGAAGCTTTAACTGATCTCAAATGCGAACTCCAAAATCTGTATATGGGACAAGGAACACAACCAAGGAGACACCATTTCGTGTCAAAATAGTCCTAACTCCATCCTACCTAAAAGGGTTAGTTTACATTAGATGTTATGAAAATGATGAGTTACAGTGGAAACGTGAAGAGTTTCACAAACCGAGAGTAATTTCGCTGATAAAATTTCCGTGTAGCGTGGAACATTTGAGTCTTAAATCTGATCAATCTGAAGCAACTTAACGTTCAACTGACTACCTTTCCTCCTGCACTATGCCAGACGAATTCGTAATGTCCGTCAAGAAATCACAGCTTATGAGAAACATAAATAGGCAATTCAATTGATGTGGATGACCATAGAATTTGAAGAACGACAGTTATTTCAAATGTGAATACTGGGAGTAGTCTGCTTACGTACATCTATTTCCGAACCTTGTTGCTAAGATTATATATAACAACAGATATAAATAGCTATAAAGCAACAAAAAATGGTGGGCGATCATAGAACTTCCGACAACATAGTAGACGACCTTCAGATCGTCAGTTTTCGACCTATTTCCTTCATACATCACGATCGAGAGGTCTTGTTTGCAGCTATAGAAACTCAGTCTTAGTTCCGCCGCATCACGAGCCAGAGGCGAATGTACCCCAACGCCACCGATATCTACGATCACCTCAAAGAGCCGATATTCAGATATTTCCTCCCATCAAGGAAGGAGCGATTGAGAGACATATTAGCACGTTACCCTCTAGATGATGCTAAACCTAGCCACCACCTTGCGTGTCTCCGGTCACTGACAGAAACCGCAACAGCTAACTCTGAAGTAGTCAGAGAACTTTGGCTAGAAGCACTACCGGTGCAGCTACAGCACACAATCACAGCACCGCTCACGCATACACCTCTTACCAAGGTTGATCTCATAGCCGACAAAATCATCTCAAGGACTAGCGCAGGGGACAACTATTTAGATCCCTGAATGTCCCATTCGAACATGGATTTCAACGCTAGTCATCGTCCAGCTCATATCGATAGGAATGACTCCATCCATGGTGGCTCACATTTCGAGACCGCATCCACGTCCCAGCACCCCATCCTATCGAGGCTGTTCGCGATCATATCGTGCTCGCCGAATATAGACGTTCCAGTCGCGGGACCATGAGCGTGTCTATGTACGAATTCAATTTGTATTTAGAAACGTTCATAGTCCCGCGACTGGAACGTCCATAAGAGCATTTTGAGAAGGAAAAGGACTCTCCCCTCTTGGCCACACAAGGGCATTCAGGGGCACATATTCTACAAACCTCACATAGCATGGAAACCAAAAGTTATCTTTCAGTCTGAAACCCGACCAAACATGAAATTTAGGAGTCCTGTGAGTAGACTGACGGAATAACACATGAAGTCAAAAGAATTACACTGCGTTTGAGCGTAACACTGACATAGTTATCAGTGAAGATTTTTTCAATTAATATACTAAAGACACATTTTAAGACGATAATTCTACCTACTTCAGTGTACACAGTTAAATATGTGGAAATAATATTATTCGGATTTAGATAGACTCAGCTTATTTTTAACGGATTATGTAATTCGAAAACTAAAAACTATCTTGGCAAGCTGAACTGACAAAGAGAAAACATAAGCTAAAAGATTTTGTGTAGAATTATGAGAAAAAGTAGGAGCTACAACTTCCACTCGCAACTTATTTAAGCTAAATAGAGGTGTGAAAATAAGGAATGATATAAATTTGAAATAAGAAACCTTACGACTTACTCCTCCGGCGGAAATTAAATACTGAGTGTGAGGAATAAATCCAAGTTGAGAAACGAATCTGTGGTTCATTAGTTAGAGTCAATGCAACACTTTAAACGTACGACTTATGACCAAGGCAAAATGATTGGATAACACAGGGTTTAGAATATCGGCTGATTCGTATTTTTTCATCGCGATCGCAGGATGCCAAGTATACTTCATCGTCCGAAATAGCCTGATGAAAGGTAAGATAAGTAATCATGCGAAATCAAAGCATAGCTGATAGTATAATCAACATACAAAGATCACCATCAGGAACTTGAGAACTGAAATATTACTCCTCATGCACTGTGACCGATATATTAGTAAATGAGGCTTTACTTGACCAATAAGTCACGAAAAATACCACGAGTCTTACTAGTAAAATAAATAAGTAGGTGCTAAAGATGCTTCACCGAATCTTGTCAAACTGTCTCAAAGCATAATAATAAGACTTGGCTGTCATTCAAAATTATCATACATATACACTCCCGTTGTTGACAACGTATATTTCTTGAAATATACCGACTACTGTAAGTTATCTCGAAATCAGTTTATCATGTGCACTAATTCACCCACAGAAGCTAACGAGGAAGTTTTGTGTCCACACAATGAGTACCTGTCATCACACCCGGAAATTCAGTAAACTGCTTAATCACACAGTAGCAGACGAACAGTCACTCCATCAGGCTGATATTGTTGAGCTTCGCTGAAATCATGAACCGATCAGTGTTAGACCACTACTGAATCTTACTTCGACTTTAGTCCATGAAACCGAAAAGTATCATGAGTTTTAAGATCAACATGTAGCTTAAACCTGGGTGGAAGAAGTGATTTGTGAAATTACGCACTGACATTATGACAACACTTAGGATGACTAATTAATTATTTTAACAGCTAAGGAGACCAAAGAAACAAGCACTCACCACGTGACTAAGTAAAGAGAGGTGTCCGCAAAGAAGAGTCATATCTGTGTCGTGGATGGGCCTCTCCAGAGACAGTGCAAGTTTATAAACATCGCCGGACTTGTCCCCAATAAGTAATGCTTGCTCGCTTGGAGAAAAAAGAAGACACGACACCTGCTTGCGCAGCTTTCTA